CACTTTATTGAGCTGTGTTGCTGGCACAAAAGTACTGTATTTTCTCCCTAAAATAAGTAATATTTTTAGTTTAAAAAATTTGAAACATGTATTATGTTCCAAAGTGAACAAAAATTACACAATGTATATAAGATTTGACAATCATTGCATTGTCTTTTTATTTACCTTTTTCCAACATTTTAACTTTATCAGATTTGAGTTTGACCTTATTATCTTTGTAACAGATGTGAAGCTGTCTTAAAAARAAAATTATTTAGTTGAAGTGAACTATGCTGCACTTATGCAGACTTAACAGGACGGTACATATCAGGACCTGTGTTGAACCTGACATTACTTTAGTTTTCACCTTTTTAAAATATATTTTCTCATATTAGCCGATTTTACAAAAAAACTATTTTAATCTTGCATTAAAAATAAAAAGGCACATTTAAAACACCACCACATGCCATATCAAAAACATTTCTACATTTAATTTGTGACAAAAAGGAAAAAAGGCTGGTTTTGTTTTGTGCAGGAACCCCTCGTGGGACAGTTTAGTAGCTGCACGGGGACTTCCTGTGACTCCCAGAAATCTTGTCATCACCCTTATGTTGCTATGCAACCAGCGGAGACTGCTGCTGATTTTATCACCCAAATTTGAGAATTTAAATAAGCATTCATCTTATGACTTATCCTCCTTTGGATGACTGTTGCCAAATTCAGAACAAGGTTGATGTTTTATGGCAATGCATAAAACATGGTATTTCTTACACAAGCTATATTTTTAATTCACAACTGAATTTTGACTCATTTTGGTTAATCTTATAGCCTAATTCTCACACAACTGTGGCTTTAATGTCATATTTAATGACAGTTTGACAGTCAGTCTTTAACTTAAAACCCAAATGCAAGTTATCACAAACACATAAACTAAAACAGCAGCATTGGATCTTATCCACAGAGAGCTGCCGCAGGCAGTCAGGCTCTATCTGTGAGATCTCCCCCTGTAATTACCTACTGGCAATCTTTTCTGCACATTTTCAATCCTGTGGTTTTGAAAAAGTGCCCAGGAATTTTACAAAGCATGGTTACAGAGCTGAAGCGTTTCATCTCGTCTGAAATGCAAAACAGAATTTTTCTCTTTTTCATGCTGAAAATTACTTCCTTTTGTTTACAGTAAAGATTAAAAATCATTTTGTTTTGTCGAAATGAATTGAGTAACAATCAAATTCCAATTTTTTTTTAATTAGCTGTGGTTGTGTTCGTATGAACAGAATCAACCCTAATATTATGACTTCATCTAAACCATAAAATCAGCCTTTCTATCACACTAAACCATGAGGGGGAATTGTGTTAATGTCTGTGTGAATGTGCACATGTCTGTCAGCAAAATATCTTTTGGACCAGTGAACAGATTGTAATGTCTCTGAAAATAACTGAATGCAGGTCTACAACTGATTAACTTTAGAGTCAAGTTGATTTAAGATGGCCTCCCCTTCAAATCCTTTGATTTCTCCACATACTGAGCTAAACTGTGGTGTGGTCGTAGCTGAGTCACCCTCAAGAAATACTCTGAGCTCAAACAGACAGACAAGTGTGATATGCATTTCTTCAAGGATTGCCAGTTTAACATTATTACAGTTTAGAATCATGAAAGCAACAAACAGCCAATTTTATATACCAGGCATGTTTTTTTTTAAAAAAAGAAACCAAAGAAAAAGTCAAACACTGATATTTTGTTGAACCATCTTTAGCTTCGATTTGTTCTGTAAGCTTGCACCACACAGTGTCATGAAGTTTATATTTGCTCCGAGTTGCAATCATTTTTAGTCAAGGGTATGTAATGATGAAATGAAAGTCAGTACACTGAGTCAAGTATTTCCAGAATCTTCAGTGAGCTCAAGATCTGGACTGTAGTGGTCAGTCCTCATCTTTCATGGGCTCTGACCCACTCTTTTTCTGTTTAAATTTAATCCAATATAATAATAGTCAGATGACCTCATTTTCCACAAATGTACTATACATGAGGCATTGCACAGGCCTCCTTAGGCCTGCAGTGATGACACAAGGCATGATGAGCGCATCACTTAATTCAGTACTTTTTATCCCCCGTATGCATCCATCACTCTGCAATGGGGTAATTTTGAAGTCATCAGACCACAAGACCCCTTTTTCATTTCTCCACAGTCCATTTGTTCAGCTTTGTTACAAACTGGTAGCCTGGTTAAAACCAGACCCTGTTCTTCACTTTGCTTCGTACAAGGGTCTGGACTTGCTGCATAGAGGAGCGTTTCTTGTAGGAGGCGTGGCCTCCTGAAGCATGTGTGTGTTGTCGCTGTGAAGGAGGCTAAGCTAAGAAGCTAACCGGAAATCGCGTGTGCTGTAAACAACCTTACTGAGAGGAGAAATATACCGAGCCAAACGAGACGACTGTAAATGAGAGCTGCTGCTTTGTCAGACAATTTTATTTTAATTTGGAAGCCTTATCAACACGGACTGGCTTCATTCACTTCCTCCACTGCCGTATGCTAAAATAACTAGCAGACACTGTGCAGAACATCGACGTCGTTCAAAACTCCGCCTTCTGTTTGCTGATTGGCCCAGGTAAAATAAACTACAAGCAGACACTGCACAGAAAATTGACATTCTCTTCTCTGATTGGCCCGGCTAAAAATCTGCCAGCGAAATCCATCTCAATGGGAGAAGTCCCAGATGGAGCAGTGAAGGGAAACTAGAATTGAGCGGAGCTGCGTAGGAAGGCAAGGGCCAGGATAACAAACTGGAACAATGAGGCTGAAGTCTTTCTTTAGTTAGCTTCACTAATAGTTGGTTTTCTTTTAGCTACAAAGCAGTTTAATCCTGGTACATTAAATTTTGTCTTTCCACCTTCAATGACAGACAGTTCACTTGCTTCCTAGTGTCAGGCGTCGTTTTAAAGAGATAATCTGTCTTTTGTTTTTATTTTCTCATATTTACTTCACATATCTATTTATRGCTCATGAAGATATGGTTTGAATGGGTTAGATATCAAGAGCAAATTTGGATGTTTTGAAAAAGCAGTATATATTTTTTTACAATTTCATCCTACTCTGCCATTACAGAGGAAGGAAAGATGGGTGGAAGAAGCAATGAGACAAAAAGACTAAAGTATCCTGAGGGGATCTTTGGACTCACTCTGTGTTCTCCTTTGTATCGCCAGTCAGTATAGCTTTCATAACAGTTGTCATCGAGCTCTTGCTATTTTGTTGTGTGATTTGAGATCAGTCAGGTGGAATTGCATCAAAACAGACTTGAATGGGGATATTCATTCTGGCTTAGCTTGGTTCATTACCAGTGCCCATATCCCACACCCCCGTTGGGAGACTTCAAAGGCAACGAAGAGGTTGATGATGCAGGCCACTGTTGCACTGAAGTATACATCACAGCATCGTCTTCAGATCCACATTGTATCTGCCATCTGGGAGGTAATCATGAAAACACATGCAACAGTCGCTCACTTAGACCATATTGTACCTGAACCAGTTTAGCCCAACCTTTGATTCTCTGCACAAGTTACTGTTACCACACCAGGTGTAGTTTGTTTTTCTTTTTAAAAGCGTGAGATCAACAGCTTCACAATATCATGTTTTAAATTTGTAGTTTCTGATTTCCCTTTACTGTAGCAATGTAGTTGACCAAATTGTAAAGGGTTGACCAATGAAGAATTAGCTTTGTTGTCTTTCACAAACATACTGTATATTTGAGTATTTTCGAGAGAAATAGCCATGCTGTGAACCTAAAAATTCAGGCTCCTGGGTGTCAGTCATATCTGTTAGAATACTGATGGCATAGCAGGCTTGAGACTTGTCTAAACTGGATAACTGTTGGCTCAAATGAGGAGTCTTTAAAGTCCTATGGCAGTGGTGTTTAATTCTGGTCCAAACGCGTTTTGAGCAGCCGAAGCTGCCAGTTTACATGCAAAGTCAGTGGTGGATGTGCATCTGGTGTTACAATTGACCTTGGTTGATTAGAACCCCAAGATGCACAACTGAGTGAGGGTGGCAAAAAAGGTTTATTAAAGCAAAAACAAAGGTGCTGACGTGACAGCAAATGAACAAGGTCTTGGGGCAGGGACGTGAACATCCAACAATAAACAGAGAACAAGGATCTGACAAAGACTGAGGACAAAGGACAGAATATAAAGGAAGAACTAATGAGGTAAAACAAGAAACACCTGGGGAAGAAACATGAGGATCAGGTGTGAGTGTGCGGGGCTAGAGCAAAGGCAGACAGGAGGAAGAAAACAGGAGGAAAAGACAGAAAACTTAGACTAAATCATAAGCACAGACACAAATCATAACATCTACAGGCGGTGCAGCACATCTAGGCTGTTTAGAGCAGTGCTCAAGGTAGCGGTAGAGCGTTTTCCGTGCATGCGGCGCATCCAAAGCAGCCGACACGAGTTCAAAAAATTGAGCTTTTGCTGCTCGACGCGCCGCATCAACCAATCAGAAAGGCTCATTTTTCCACGTGATGGTTTCCTGAATGTTGCCCACTAACCTGAAACAGACGGACATGAGCTCTTTAGCTGAAATCGACTGTCTGTAGGTGGTGTTCTGGCAGGAGATATCAGCACTGATGWGGGTCAACAGCTTGTTAAACTGACCGCCGTGTTAAACTGGGCTCGGGACAAAAAAATTGTTTGTCAGCTTGCAGCTCCTGGAGTGGTGAAACTCAGAGAACAGACCGCCTCTAAATTATCTGGTGAATTAATTATCTGATGAGCGCAACGTTCGCTCGCTCTTAGTAAATAAAGCAAAGCCATTTTCTTTATTTCATCTTTATTTCATCCGTCATTAAAGACTGACCGGAAAAAAAAACAAAAACAAGACACTCCTTCCTCTTCAGACGCGCATCTATTCACGTTCTGTCTGTACGGACATTATTGACAAGCGTCCAACTTGAGGCGTCAGGCGCATTTTGGCTGCTCAAAATGCATTTGGTGTGAACCCAGCTTTACATGTTTCCCTGCTCTTCTGCAGGCCTTCAAGTTCTACAGAAGCCTGTTAACCTAAAACATGCAGGGTAGTGGCCCTCAAGGATTGGACACTATGGGTCTATGGAACAATTAAAAAAGGTAAAAGATCATCTTTCCAGCTACTTTGTTTTAAAACAGCTGTCTTGTAGGTGAACTAGGGAGTTCATGCTTATTCCATCAGAGGTTAGATCCCATTCTTAAAAACGTACCCAGAGTGTTGTTTTGACWCGTTCATGCATGTTTGAGAAATCCTTGAATCTCCTGTGGTAGCCATTTTGAGCTTCTTAAACACTTTCTGATACAAAGCTGCTCCCTGGAGCTCAGTCTGTAGCCAAACTCTTGCCCTACAGAGCCTCCCTCCCCTGACGCATTGTTGTGAAGACAGTAGGAATTTCTTAAAGAGACAGAGGACAATTTCAAAGCGTTTACATAGTCAAATATATTTTTGATGTACATTATACAGTATTTTCATAACAACTGAATGTAATATACAGTGGTTACTTGATTATGGGTATGGAGTTACATTATATGTCTGGAAATCCCCCCCCCCACCCTTTAAAGCTGTATCAAAAGTGCTACAGCTAGCTGATGCTGTCACTTTTTGTAAACAAACAGAATTTCACGTAAATAACAATGATTGCTTGCAGTGTAAAGTTTATAAAATATCTTTTGCATAAACTGCCGTGAAATGTTTGGGATTAATGTAAATTTAAGTTGACAGCAATTTACTTTAGGCTTAGCTTTGCCCTTACTAGCCCTTAGTTTGTCAATCTGCTTCAAACTAAATGGGGTTTCTCCAAATTTAATTGTTAAAACTGTTATCTTAAAGCATTTTTGCGGAACTACACTACACAGAACTATTTATTTAAATAAGACCTTGACTATGCGCATGATGCCAAATTTATGCTAAAGTTTGTTAATTCAACACAAAGAATATTCATTTTCCTTGTTTCACAGTGTTCATTTATAATGACCAGGGCTGGGTTCCCTCTAACGTTAGCTTGAACTCTGGTAGCATTTAGGACAGCAGAGGTAAACAGTCAACAGTGGACGTGTGAGTCATGTCATGATTGCTCATTTCCTGCTTGAGGCAGAGCTTTAGTAATAGGTCAAAATGACTTAAATGTGAAGTCCTGATTTGGGAACATGGTTAGACAGAGTCATTGCTAAGGCTGGACAGGAGCATAACGTTGCTTTCACATTATATAAGAAGTGCTTGGAATAGTATTTGTCTGAACCAAATTAGTAAAATCCATACAATCAGCTTTACAGACGACATAGAGCATTTTGTTGTTAAACTAATTATACAGAATGGATTACTGTCTGACTGGGCAAAGTCAGTGGGCAATGATTTATCTTAGCCGAAGCAATTTAATTTATCCTAGCTTTTGTTTTGTGTCTGTATAAACATGGACTCCATTCAATTCCCAGTTTCAAATTTTCAATCAAGATTTTTTTCTATACGTCTGATTAAAATACAGGATGTGGTGGTTTGTCAACTTTAAACATAGTCTTTATTAAAATCATCCTTAATTTCGTAGGATATGTAGACTTTCTGGATTTTTCTTTTGCTGATGAAGGTTATTGCTCAGTTCTAATCAGCATCATCAGGCTAGGAATTTCTGTGAAGAGATTGTTGTTAAACAGGAGTGGAGGCCTCATTGTCCAGTTGTCCCCCTTTTACAATGCAGTTATTGRGAGTATGACACAACKCTCTGTGAACAATAAGTGACCATAAGGGCACTAACTATCGGTCATTAGGCTGATGGTTCTCTTTTGCATGTGAACAACCAGTTTTGGTTAACACTGGTAAACTTATTGATCCATTAAAAGGTACTGCTTATAGGCTGAGTTTACCTGCAACTCCTCAGACTGAAGAAGTCTCTTGGAGAAGAGACGAAACATTTCAACAAAAAAGAACCCATTCACAGAGGACTTGAGCCAACCTTTTTTTTTAGATTTTAACGGTTTTTCACATTATAATTTAAATGCATCCTTCATCAGACTACACTGTGAACAGTCTGGGACCCTGAAGCAACCTGCATCTGCAGAGACGTAACACACAGATTGCTGTGTTTGCAGGAGTAAATATGGATGCTACACATGTTAGCATGTGTGTATCAGTTCTGACGTTGTGCAATCATTAGCTACGTTTACATGGACATAAGTAATTGGATTAAACGACCATTCGGAAAAAATGCYTCATGTAAACACCCCATTCAGATTATTCTGACCCGATTCATCTCGATCCGAATGAATTTGTAGTTGGAACGAGAGAGGTGGTTTATGCCGATTGATAATCCGAACGACGTACATGTAAACACTTAATCTGATCATCTTATTCTGATTGTGGAAAACTGACCTGACTGTGCATTGTCTGCTGACTTTCATCCAGCGGTTTCTGCTCTTTTGAGGAGGGAGGGGCGCTGTAGTCAACTTTCCTCTCGTTCTCTCATTCAATAAAGAAGGAAGACACACAGCCTGCACCGCTTCGCAATAAATAAACAAATAAACAAACAAACAAACAGACAAACAAATAAATAAATAAATAAATAAAAAAAAGTCTGTGCGTCACCTGCAGCTGAACCAGGGAGTGCAGTAACATCTCCACCATTATTCAAACCTGTTGTAGG